GGAGCCTGAAGCAGGAGAATCGCTTGAACCCGGGAGGCAGGGTTGTGGTGAGCCAAGATCATACTATTGCACTCCCGCCTGGGCAACAGAGCGAGACTCCGTATCAAAAAAAAAAAAAAAAAAAAAAAAACCCTCTTCTACCTTTTTTACATTTCTAGAGCCTTGACAGTAGTTGTGGCCACTATGGTAAAGGTAAGTGACGTTTGAACACAGTGTACTCTGTCACCTTTTGTAACTGTTCTTGCTCTCTCCTAAAAAGCTAGGCTACACAATTACAGTTGTAGAAATTTGCATCTTTATTGTGTTTGAAGGTATTTGTCTTCATGCTGAGGAAGGGCGTCATGGAAAAAATACATATATTTCAGTTCAGAATGATTATATAGATACACCTAAGCCTATAACGTTTTTAAAGCACTCAGAATAGGAAAAAAAAATGAAGCATTCACCTTAGAACTTGGGGCAACATGCCTTAGGCAGGACGAGCCCCTCTGGATGCATCGGCTCAGTTCCGGACGGAGCCTCTGGTTGGTCGCTGCTTCTCCTGGGGACCCCTGACACCACCTCTCTTCCGTCTTAGGGCTTGGATTCCTCTCACACTGGAGTTTACATTTTTGGTTTATTCATCGAGGGGGCAAGATGGAATCGCGAACAAAAGATACTGGAAGACTCGCTGCCTCTGGAGATGTGCTGTGATTTTCCCGACATACACTTTTTGCCAACAAAGGTAACCACCCTGCTATTATCCTGAAATCCTAAACCTCTGAGCGTTCCTTCAGTAACATACAAACTACTCTTATTCCCATTCCCTACAATTTCACAAGGGAGATGTGATAATATACTCAGACAACAAAGATTTTAAATTCCCCAAAATGTTACTAAAATCTAAAGTAGATGCTATACTTACATCCCATGTTCTCAATAATATGTACTATAAAGTCATAATACTCTTTAAATTCTCCAGGTATAATTTCCACAGGCTGTTACATTAACCATTTAACCTTAAATGTATCTAATTCATAACAAATCCCCCAAGCCTATAGCATACAAAAATGTGAGCTACTGATTCACTTGAACTACACAATTTGACTACTGGATTTTTTTTTTTTTTTTTTAAGATTTCTACCGAAACACCAAATGCTTCCAACCAGACAGATTCAGAATGCTATACTTTTGAATGCCCAGTTTACCAGACACCTGAGAGGTCAAGAATTTTAGCAACTACTGGTTTACCAATAAACTTTTTAACATCAGTGTATTTATCAACGAAGAAACCTCCTAGTCACTGGATCACAATGCGGGTTGCATTGCTTTGTGAGAAGAATGAAAAATAAATGTCCATACCAAACCATTTTAATTTTTGACTCTAACCAGACTTACATGTTTCAAGACATTCACGTGTAGTCAACACCCTTTATAAAGTATTTGTGTGTTTAGCCAGACTGAACAGGTGCAGTCTTTATTTCATTTGTACATGAAAACTTCAACCCAGAGGGGAATCTTGCAGCTGCGTTTTATCCTAAGTACCTAAGACCTGACCATGCAATGTCCCTGTGGTTGGGCTCTAGTACAGGTCAGCACAACCTGCAATACAGCAAATTTGACTCTCCTAACAGTAAAAAGCACAGCACCTGACAGGATATCAGGGCATGCCTTTATGAACTTTTTGGTAAAAATGATTTATAAAATTATATACAATAAACTAAATACACACATGTAGAATAGATCTTTGGAATGCTTCCCCTGGCTTCTCTAAGTAAACACAGAATATTCCACTGCTGACCTAGCTGCAGACTTCTGAAACTAAAGAGAAGGGCCTTCTTCTTTAAAGAAATGCAGTCTGGGCCAGGCATGGTGACTCACGCCTGTAATCCCACCACTTTGGGAGGCCAAGGCAGGTGGATCACCTGAGGTCAGTACTTCGAAACCAGCCTACAACACCACGACGAAACCCATCTCTACTAAAGATACACAAATTGGCCGGACGTGGTGGTGCAGGTCTGCAGTCCCAGCTCAGGAGGCTGAGGCATGAGAATCACTTGAGCCTGGGAGGCAGAGGTTGCTGTGAGCTGAGACTGTGCACTCCAGCCTAGGTGACAGAGCAAGATTCTTGTCTCAAAGAAAAAAGGAAAAAAAAATTGCAGTCTGGCTGGGTACAGTGGCTCGTGTCTGTAATCCCAGCACTTTGGGAGGCCAAGGCAAGATGATCACTTAAGGCCAGGAATTCAAGACCAGCCTTGACAACATAATGAGACCCTCTTTACAAAAACTGTTTAAAAAATTAGCCAGGCATGATGAGGCACCTTTAGTCCCAGCTACTCAGAGTCTGAGGTAGGAGGATGGCTTGAGCCCAGGAGGTTGAGGCTGCATTGAGCTATGATCATGCCACTGTACACCAGCCTGGGAAACAGAGCCAGACCCCACCTCTTTTTTAAAAAATAAAGAAGTGCAATATGGTTCTGACTTCACTAGACCTCTTTGCCTACTAAAAGCCAAATCCTGAGAATTTGGTAAGTTCAATGTTTCTATAGGAAGAATGTTACTCTACTAATAATGGCTATCATAACTGAGCACTATGTTGAGCACTAATAATTCCTGTACCATCCTCAGGCCCCTCTATACTATGTGGACGTATCAGCCAGATTTTATACATGAGGAAACCAGTGCTCAGAGATTAATTGCCCACACACACATTGCTAAGAGGGAGCAGAGCTAGCATTTGAAGCCACATCTCACTGTCACTTTATCATGGCAATGGTCCATGGGCAGAAAGCATAACCCACGTGTACACAAATGAAGATCCTTCTCTCCATAGTAAGGGGGGTAGAAAAGGTGGGACTTGTCCCCAGCACTAGACTCTTTAACAGCCATGAACAAAACATGTATTTAATTGTGTCCAGGAAACTGTACCATCTACCTTTAAGTAAATTGCACCTAGAAACACTCCACCTTGTATCTTTTGTTAAAATCCTATACTTCATCATTTGCTCCAAACAGTGCAAAACTAAAGACCAAAATATATATCATATGCTTGGTATTGGTGCATATTCTGACATATCTACATTTTGCAATGTAATGTCGCAATGTAATGTCCCAGCAGGAAGAACTGAGACACAAAGCTGTCTGATCTCATCTCACAATTCAGGATTAGAGTCAACTGGAAATCCAAACGAGCACTAAAGCATGGTCAGCAGGCATAGTACATGTGTGTGTCTCTCACACATGTACTGTCTTTCAGATGCACAGATGCTTCTGTGATTCATACAAATGCATTCGAAAGTATGACTGAATCTACAATAGTTTTAGCATTTCTGTATTTTCTCAAACAGCAAATACTAAACACATGACCATTTTCTGGGAATTAGGACTCCCAACTAACCCCTTTGAGTTCCAACATTCTGAGTCTTAAAATAAACAGCAGTTGGCCAGGGTCCCAAACAGATGATCCTAGCAAAACAGGAGGCTGGGTGGGGGTGGGAATCTAAGGGCTCCTATCTTGGTCCCAAAAATCCCAGAGTTTCAAGCAAGAAGGGGGGGGAAAAAAAAGGCTCCAAAGTGATCAAAATGTTGCTACATTTTATTTTCAACTTAAAACTTCATTATAAAATTTGCAAAATAAACATGTTGAAAACAAAATTAAAAACAAATTGTAGCTGATATCCAGAAATTGCAGCACTGTATTGGTAACGGGCTCTTTTCATTACCAGGGAAAGAATTTAATGTCCTTCCTTCCTCCCCAAAAGCTTCCTTGGTGCAATCTAGTACAGAAAACGCTGGGACATCACTTTCTGATGCCAGGATAAAAGCAAAATAAAAAAACTGCTTGCACACATTAGCACTGATAAAACAATGACAATTTCGCTAAAAGAATGTTTAAAGACTACAGGATGCTAGAGCAAACCAACTTCATGATTGCATTAACATAAGCTAAGTTACATACACTTCATGCAGTGTAGAATTAACACTGCATATCTAAATGGCTCATATATAAAATGTGTAATTAAAACCCAAACATACACACTATGTTTATTACATTCCCCTACATTTAAAGTACTAAGAACAATTTAACTTTGAACACAAAAGTTTAGTGAATTTGCTACTGTTCCATTATAGGACAATTAAAAATGAGACCATATCAACTTCACTAGAATTTAATTGCTAAAGCTACCTTATGCACATCTATTAAACTAAAAGAAACGACTTTAACCCCTTAAGTTGTTTTTAAGATAGCACTCCTTTACAGGGAGTAAAGTTTTGTAAATATAAAGGATATATAAAAAATACAGTATAAACTGCATGAGCTTAACAGTAGCAAAAACACTGATGAACTTTTAAAAAGTCAAAAATATATAAAAATATTAGCCTGACATGGCAAATTTTCAAACACCAATCTGTGTAAAAATGTTTAAATATTGATGTTACTCCAAAAATATATACTTATTCTATTTTTTTTCTATTTGCAACAGTTTATAAAGGCAAACAAACACCTGCAATTGAGGTAGCAAAGCCAAATTCACAAACTTTGGATCAAGAAAAATACCCTTCCTATGTTTTAACAGCATCTTCTATACAATAGTGAATGAATTCTAATTGTTCCAAAATTTTTAATTCACATTACTTTACAAAACTTTATTTAAAATACTGAAAATGTTTTGTTAAAAAGACAGTCCTGACAATCATCTCACATTCAAAATACTGTACAAAAAAATCTGAAGTCACCATATATTACATAAAACTAAGCTATGTATTTACATTTTCAAATGTAGTTTTAGAAGCTGAGGTTAAGCCAAATGCTACAAATGGTCTCCCTTAAACAGTGTCTGCTAATAATCTCATCGCTGTGCACTTTCAGCATTTAATATAGGCCCTTCTTTTTGCTTTCAAATTATATAACTAGTAAAGGATTTAAAGAAAAACAAATGAAAATTCTATTTTCTTACTGAATAAAACATAAATGTACTTTAAATGGAACAGTGTTTTCATTTAAGAAAAGCCAACTGGCCAAAAAACATCAAAATTTGAAAAGTAATCAGAAACCATAAACATCAATAGTATTCTTCACAGTACATTTATATTAAGACTGTCTTCTGTTTTCAGATTTTTAAGGGTTGAAAATTTCCCATTAAAATGCAAATTCTCACATCCTTACTTGTATTTTTCCTATGTTAATTATAATTTAATAAAAGTAAACACAGCTATATTAAAAGATCAACTACTTGGCTCTATAGTCCTGGTTCAAAAAAAAAAAAAATTTACAGATCCTGTCAGTGCAACAAAAGAAAGTTTGGGATTTTTTCCTCATTTTTGCAAATGGCAGCTGGAATTGCAGGAGTATTTTGTAGATAAGCCAGAAGAGCATTAGTAGATGTATGGAAATATACGGTAGGGCACACGCTGACAGTACTTTTCCCAAGCCACGCCGTATTTCTTTTTACAGTGGTACTCGTCACGAGCTTCTCGGTGGACAAGCAACATGGTGAAATAAATCACATAGAAATAAGGCAGAATGTGGTTAAAACCTGTGGATAATAATGGTACATAGTATTAGATATTTTTATTATCACTACAACATATTTTTTCCTGCTTTTCCCCAAATTCTCTAAAAATGAACCACAAGGTACTTCATTTTCCCTAATAATGAGGAGAACAATTAAACCAGTCTGTAAAATCCCACTGGGAAGTGGCAGAAGGTCGTATCTAAATTAGAAGCTACTCAAAGACTGGTGAATCCATTCTAACAATCCATCACAATCAAAACATCTGTCCTCATAGTTAATACAAATCTCTCCATTTCTCACCCTTCTTCCCCCAGCGAAGAGAAAAACTGCTGTCCTCCACTACAGGCCAGGCCACCAAACAGGTAGCAGGCATGGGCCAGTTCCCCAACCTCCACAAGCTCCCCTGGATCCCCCTGCTCCCCCAGCTCCCCCAGCTCCACCAACTCCCCCAGCTCCACCAACTCCCCGAGGTCCCCCAGCTTCCCAAGATCCCCCTGTTCCCTCAGTTCCCCCAAATCCCCCGGCTCCACCAGTACCTCCAGCTCCCCCTGATACCCCAACTCCCCAAGCACCTCCAGCTCCCACAGCTCCCCCTGCTCCCCTGCTTCCCCAGCTCCCCATGAGGCCAGACACACAAAAAGAAAAACAGAATCTCCTTCTCTTCTTAAAAACCAGTTTTTCCCAATCTATGTACACTGAATCATGAACTAAGAAGCTGAATTAATTTCTATATATTCTACTTAGAAAAAAGCTATCAGGCACAATTGAAAACTTAAAATTTTGCTTTTAGGCTTAAAGTAAAACTTCAGGCTCTGTGAATTCCCAATTCCCCTCAGAAGCCAGAAGAGCTTCTACAGAG